ATGTGTATGTATCTATGTATGTATGTGTATGTATCTATGTATGTATGTGTATGTATGCATGTATAATATATAATTATGCTGCTGACTTTGTAGTCAGCAGCATCTGCATAAAATGATGGCATACACATGTTTTCATAATAATTTTTCCATTACTCTGTCCTGCCCTTTCTGTGGATACCATGCCTTTTCTGTAGATCCAAGTAGCAGAAATTTCAGTTGGACTCATAAAACAATTTTTTTTTTTTGTTAAACACTACAAGGATTTCACCCCAAAAAGAAAAAAAAATAGAGTAATCCATTAAAAAACTGTGAATGAAGCATTGGCAGCATTGGAACAAGGAAATAAAAGTTTATTCTTCCAGTTCTATATTCATTTCCATGTGGAGAAAAGGGAAATAGGAATGGCTTGGGGGAAACCTAAAGAGCTAAGGATATCTTTTTAAAAAGGGATAAATAAAAAATACCTACCTAGAAACTGAATGAACTTGCTTAGGTTAGTATCAAACACAATTACATTTATCATATTTTCTTATATTACAGTTTGAAGAACAAATCCTATCACTTTTTCGTAAGCAAGATAGGACATGTGCAATAGGATACTTTATTCTGTGAAATATATTTGTTTTGAAGTGGAAAATGTTTACATCTCCTTTTACTTCATGAACAGTACCATTCTTAAAGTCTCCCAAGTTACAACATTTTCAAACAGAATTCATTTCTTTTCCTGAAAAGATTGAAATTGCTTTTTAAAAAAACTAGGAAAAGTGTATTTTTAAATGTGGGGTAGAACTCTGCCATAAGCAATGCATATAAAACAAGGAATAATTATAGTGGAACTAAATTGATCAATTTAGTAGTGACAATGGTGCACATAATTTATATAGTATAATTCGAAGTAAAGATGATTGCTCCAAGACTCATTATAATTCATCAGAGAGAACAAGGGGGAATGGGTTGGGAAATGGTTAAATGGAAGAAGAATAAGATGCCCTTATTACAGTTGCATATGTTGAATTTGTTAAATACCTTCTTTTACTGCTGCACACATCTTAAAGAATGCTAGACAATTCCTACCAACTATGTTTGAAAATACCCCTCATCTGTCACACTCTCAACCACAAGGGAGCACTCTTTCTCTTANATATACATGAATATATGTGAATTCAAAATATGTGATTTGATATGAAAAACAGGTGATGACTATGGAAGAGATGCATGGAAATACTGTAACCAACTGACACACTTTCTACAATTTGTAATTGAAGATGGCTTTTTTATTTTTATGTTTGTTTGTTTTTGTTCAATAATAAATAAAAATTGTTTTAAAAAAAGACTGGAAAGGTCATTAGAGAATTCGATTTCAACTCAAATGGAGTAAACACGACTTAAAACATACAATCACTTTTGTTCACAATATTCTTACTGTGTCACATTTATATTGTAAGTTGACACGGACTTTTCTGTAATAATTGAAAGATGCTCGGTTCTTGAAAATTACATCTAAGAGCCAGGTTGTAGGCAATAGCAAAACACTGAGGAAAAAGTATTAAAGCAAAACCGAGTTTCCATGTCACACCATCTCTTAATTTGAGCAAAGAAATAAACACATCAACAAAATGTCTCTGTATCCTAACTTGATACATTACCTGGTGCTGATATAGCACTATGGGTGGGTGAGGAGGTCAAAGCTATGTGATTTCCTGCAACAGCCAGGGCATTGCTCACAGAAGAAGCTGCCAGCTGTTCCATCCCCACAGGGCTCAGACTCATTTCATTCATCCTAAACAAAAAAGGGACGTTTAAAATGTACACAATAGTTCAGGCAAGCATGAGTTTGGCATTTAACAAACATACAGAACACTGTAACAGGTTTCTACCACTTTTGAATGATGACAAGGGGCTGCACTCTAACATGGAAAGTCAAGGGAAAAAACTAAATTTATTTAAATAAGTAATTTCAATACTATTAATAAATATAATCAATGTCATGAGTTTAATATCTCTTTATATATTAAAACTTAACATTCTCTGGAAATTTCTGGAGAGGTTTTAGGAATGCACATCTGGTATAGAAAAATAGATCATGCTGTTTTGCTTTTCTTCTTCCACTCTTTATCTTTTCTATTCCTCTAGCATATTTAATAAAAGACTCCTTTAATAAAAGACTTCTTTAATAAAAGAAGCTGAGGTGAAACTGGGATAGAGTCAAAGAACTGAGAAACAGGGTGATTCAAGTTTGTTTACCTATGGGAAACCAGACTGCGACACAAATGCTATAGTATTACAACACTGCAAAGAAAAAAATTAGCTGCATTCCGATTTCAAATAAAGTGCAATGAGACAAGAGAAAAATGACTGAGATTTTAAAATATGTTCATACTCTATAAAAGCAATCTGCAATTCCAAATCAATTAAATGTGGAAGTTCCCATAAGTTAAAATCTTTAAGAGTTTGCTAACGTTTTAATTTCTCATGTTTCTGTGCGCTTCCTTAAAGATTACGAAAACTAAACTGTAATAAATTCAGTACTAGTAATACCTGTACCAGTAATAAATTCTGAATTAAATATAAATCATTAATTTAAAGAAAAACCATTTAATGGGCACTGGATGCAACAGACAATTTATCAGGGCATCCCTCAACATAATAGACAAGTTCATTAATCCAAACAGTTTAGATAAGATACTTACATCTACATAATGTACATTGTGTCATGGTTTTACACAATTCATGTCATTATATTATCATACAAATACTGTACATCACTGTGATTGACATTGTTCAAGTTAAACAGATATTTGGGAATTAACACTCCACTCCTGAATGATCTGTTAAATCTGTAATTTTCAAAATACTGCAGGCATTAATTCACCAAATCACAGCAATTCCAAAAGCAGTTTCTTGCTTATAATTCTTACATGTTAACTGTCATCTTTAAAATGTCACTTGATTATTTAAAAACTAAGCACAAATAAAAATCACATACTTTTTAGACTGATTAGAACTATAATTACTTTAGAAGGAAAAGATATTTGTGAATTCTATCCTTATTAGTGCAACACATTAGAACCCACTGCAAATTAGTTGTAAGTCAGCAAAACACTTGTAACCCTGATCATTATCTAATCAGAGTTAAGCATACAGAAAAATGTTTTTTCTTCCCGTCTTTGTTCATTTAATGAATGTTTAACTCATTTACGCTTTTAATTGACACTTACTCTGATCAANAAATACTGAATGAAAAAACTCCAAACATCTGCATCTGCAATATTCACTGTTTGTTTTTTTTGAATGTGTAAAAATTGCTCAGTAATTGCATACAAATTCACAAAATGATGTGGTTTACCACACAGATATTGCATTGTACTGTATGCTTAATAATAAAGCTCTGTCCAGATTCACATTCTTTCTGCAGTACAATAGTGGCTTTTATTATCCAGCTATTCTATCAAATTGTGTTTCAAGATGAGAATATACAAGAAGAAATAAACAACAACTTACCAACTTCAGGTCCCATAACAGCATGGCGGATATTAAGCTGTTTTGGGAGAGAAAGTCTGGCCCTGCTCTCTATTGGAGTGTCAGAAACAAAAGTCACAGGCCCATGATCTGGGCAATCTGATGGGTAAGCCTTGTCGCAGAGTGTGCACCCTGTGGATAAGAAAAAAAAGGTACAGAATGAGAGAATTGTTTCTGTCAGTTGCTATAACACAGGGATCCCCAACCCCTGGTTCACGGCCCTTTGCCTGGCTGCAGCTCATTTGGAACCGGGGCGCAGAAATGGTGGATGAGCATTTGTGAAAGCGGCAACACATACACATGAAACCATCCCCTCTTCCCCCACCGCGGCCACATCTCCGCAGGTCCGCCAAAACAGAGAAATTCAGGAATGCTGCTATAACATACATGCAAGATGAGGGTAGAAAAAAAACCCCACACAATAATATTTATTAGACCTATGCTTATAAAATGTTTGATGCCAGTGTCAAATAAAAATTGCCTTGAAGGGATAAAGAAAATGTACAAATGTTAGCTTTTGATGGGGAACAGGGTTAGAGACATATTATAATATGGGCATGAGTGGACAACTAAAACTGGTTAAATATTTTTATGGACTATATTGAGTATAGTCCATATGCTGATTATGGGAAGAAAATTTATTTGCAAAATTGAGATATGGATTCCTTCATGAGGAAAACAGGTCACGTAATTGCAAGGGAATTTTCTTATACAAATATATTATTCTGCACATTTAACTTGCAATTAAGAAAGAATTAGTTTTATAGGAACATCCACTATGGCAGTCCAGCTATTACAACCATAACTTTCTCTCATTTACATGCAGTACTGACTGATGAAAGGTGTGGACAATTCTTTGGTGCTCAGCCTTTCTCATTTTATTTCTTATTTTCTTATTTTATTTATTTACAAGTAAATAAATGAAAATTGGTGTATGTATTTTGAATAATTATAATTAAACATTGAATGTAAAAGCATTCAAGACATGTGAAAAACAGAGGCTTATATACATGCCAATTTCTGTGAACTGAAAGGAGAGAAAGAAGTGAAACTTGATCTCTTCAATGACTGAAACAATCCCCAGCCTCTTTAGTTTTTGTTTATCTGTATCCATCCTAAATGGGAAAAAAATCTTCCTTTGTAGTCAGGAAAGAGAAAGCCTAACTGGGATATTTATTATATGTAACAGGAACAATTAGTACCTTTCAAATGGTTTGCATTTTAATTGTTACCCTTCATTATAATGACTGAGGTTTAAGTCTCACTAAAACCATGCAGAAGAAGCATTGCTTTCCCCTTGCATCCAGAATGGGTTTCCTCTCTATATTAAGTCAAATTATAATTGGTTCATTTTTGGCTTAATGAGTTATGCCAATTGGGATTTCATCAGGATTAAATAATGGCTTACAGTCCTGTGTAAATTCAGTGATTGGTTAAAAGCTTAGCTCCAGTTTTCTGCACCTTCTGTAAACTTTTTCTATAACTCCACTGGATTTTGTCATAAGTACATACATTTAAAAGCAGGATAAGTTAAACTTTTTGAATTAGCTGGAAAATACTGTTTAAGACATACTGTGACACATACTCACATATTGTAAACAATGTAGCCATATTCTCCTTATTGGAATTGGAATCTTCCATCTGCAATGATGATGGCACAAAAGCAAGATTGTCTGAAGAGACATCCACATGATTTTGTCCCATGGCTACTTCCTGGTTAATGGAGGATACTGTCACAGGCTCCAAGCTGAGACCCACTTCATGTAATGAGACAGATTCCAGGGAAGTGAGATTATGTGAGGTAGAAAGCGCAACACTCACAGAATTGCTGCTCATGGCCACTGTATGAATAGGGTCCCCAAGTGTTCGGTCAGGCATCCCATTGACCCGGCCTGAAATGTGGTCAGTCTCCATAACAACAGGAAGTTCCAAACTGCTACCATGGATAGGGATGACACCATTATGCCCCACAGTTTCTGAGGCTAAACCACCATCCACTGCTAGAGGCTCATGATTACGGCTGCCATTTGCAATTTGTGAATGATCCCCACCTACATCACTCATCCTAAGCTCTTCAGCCATTCTGTCACTTGAGATTGGACTCGTAACTCTTGAAACACTTTCTATGGTAATTGTTGTATCCAGAGCTACATCATGGCCATCACTGGGATGCAAACTTTGAGTGTTATGTGCGTTCACTGAACGAGAATCCATGGAGACAATGCCTGCTTCAAGACCCACAGATCCATTGGGCTGGTAGGGATCTAAGTCTGAAGGATTATTGGAGACAGATAAAGCTGAGTTACTATCAACGTTGATATTGTTGGGATGAATACACTGAGGTGGAGGTCTGTCAGCTAAGTAAGATATGAGACCTGAAGAAGAGGAAAAATGAAAGAAAGGGAAAAATAAACACATTGTCTCATACTAACAAGTCAAGTTTTAAATTGCTGAATTCAAGGAAAATCAATTTGCACTAGTGCATCCAATAAACCTAAGGCTCAGTATTTTACACCTCTCATGACTTGCAAATAGTCAATGTAATGTAAACAATTATTAAGGCACAAGAAAAAGAAATGTACAAGTTCACCTAAATAATTCTAGATCATATCTATTCTTGTAATAATTGTCAAATAAATAAAACATAATTATATATCTGGAAGAGAATGTTCAACACTATTTACCTGTAAAATGTATATACTGTTACCTATTCAATTAAGGCTTTGTAACTTAATAAAGTGTTAACCATTGCCCTATATTACTGATCCCAAGATTTGAACAAAGTCTATTGTGTCATGCTACATACCAGGTAGGATGTGTCTAAAGTAGCTGCTTTCTAGATGAGGGTAAGGTGGTGGAGGTAGGGTATAATTTCTTTCTGGTATACCGCACATCACTCCTCGATCTCCAATGCCCATTGGAAGCATCAGAGACAAAGCAGACGGTAATGAGGGCCCCAAATTTGGAATTGCAACTGGTAATCCTAATAAAAAAACAAAATAATTAGTCTACAACTGATCAAACATTTGGGGAGACTGGATGCACAGAGATTAAGACTGGAAATTTTATATAAACAACGCATGGAGAATATGAGAGGAGGTTTAAAAGCTTTATCTAGAATATGTTATAAAGATGTATTGTGATTGGATGATTTTAGGATGATTTAATAGAATGTTATCAGATAATCCTATTCTAGATTTTGAATATTATATATAAAAGGATGTAAAAACAATTATAGTCAAATTAAGGTTGAGATATAATAATCGTGATATACATGAATATATGTGAATTTAAAATATTGCAATTTGATATGAAAAGCAGGTGATGACTATGGAAGAGATGCATGGAAATACTGTAACCAACTGACACACTTTCTACAATTTGTAATGGAAGATGTTTTTTTTTATTTTAATTTTTATGTTTGTTTGTCT